CTGATTTATGATCAGTTTCGACGGATTAAAACGGAATACTATGGCCAATATCGATTTACAATTACGGGAAATACCCGAGTGTACCTCTTTAAATTGATCAATCTCACAACAGCAAGTATACAAGACCAAAATGTGGATAATATTTTGATCAGTCAGTACAAATTATACACCCGGAATTCGTACACGAGTTTGTGAATGAATTACCGATGAATGAAAGATAGTCGTACCAGGTTTTTTGAAATTTGGTGCTGATGTTGGCAAATATTATCAATAGAAATTACGTGACTGAATACATATATAAACTATGGAGTTTGACTATCAATTTTGGCGGCAGAATGAAACGGAGCACTGCAGCAAACATTGATTTGCAGTTTCGGAATATATTCTTATATGCCACATAGTTCAATCAATCTTACGACAGCTAGTATACAAGACCGAAATTTATATATTAATCTGTGAATGAAAATGGTTCCTCGATACCACGCACGTTATCAAATTCAACCGTACTATTGTCAATGATTCGTGATATATCAACTCGATGTTGAGGTAGTCTCAGATGAAGTTGATGATGCTGTTTGAGCAGATATCGGTGAGTGTATTTTGTGGTGTAACGAAAGTGGTTGTAGTGTAGTCTTGTGATGTATTTATAGATGCTTCAATTCTAGTGCCATCGGGTGCAATGCCTTGTCCAGTACGAGCCCCATCTGAAGCCACATTGCTTACTCGCATTGGCCCTATTCCTAATAATGAATCGATTGAAAATGGGTTCGATCTGGGCACGGCGGATAAGGTTTTATAAAAATTTGATATATTGGCACCCGTAGCTCTTGTTCTATTCTCGCTGTCAGCGCATTAATGGTATGAGTTCTGGTGCGCAACCTTGATACAAAAGGTGCCGGCAATGCTGAAGATTGCGAAGATGTTTCAGTGCCTGTGTAGAGTATGGAGAGTATCTGAAAGGTACGAGCCAAAGGATATAATATCCCTCTTCTCAAGTACGGTTATTTCAGCTAGGAAAAGTCCCTAGTCCGAGAAAACCGAAAAGAGTCTTTATTTGTGTTTTCTAATTCTCTAGACTCAAGTTTCTACTTTTGAATGTTTCTCTCACACGCAAAGTCCCGGTATTGTTCGCGGTTCTACCACTAATATTTCTGATGAATCTAACAGAAATATTTGAATCTTAAATCCAAAACTCAATGTTTGACGATTCTGAGGTTTTTGGTATTTGGATTAGCTTTTTAATAATCTGGTCCCTAGATGCTACAGTCTCCCAACTTTATGCTTCTTAGCCTGCGTAGGAGTAGAAAGTAACATCCTACAGTACTGGATTATCTAGAGTGTTTTTGTACAGGGAAAGCTTGTCCCTTAGGGGGTTGAGATGAAAAACCTACCAACATTATCTAATCTTACATATTTCCTAGCAATTAATTATACTATATCGGGAGTTCTCAGCCACGCTCATCGGATTCAGTCTTAGCCGGTGCTTTCAGTGTCAACTTGGCTTAGGAAAACGCATCTCAATGGTGGCTTTACAACAGACTCTTTGGTCCTTATCCCTCTGATATGTGGGCGGGGCATGGTTCAAGGTGAGAAAAGTGGGAGAGTCCCTTGGTAGCAGTGAGACTTGCTTATGTCCCCCGCCTTGTGCGCTTTCTGTTGCACGCTGATCTTTCATCAGTGCTCCTTGCTGTTGATTTCGTCGACCTTGATTGCCTTCGTTTGCATCGGCATCTGCGATGTTTGATTCATACGTCCATCTCTTCATTGCAGTAGGTAATCCTGGGATTCATCACCTTGGATGGACGGCCTGTGGTCGAGTATCGAGGAGAACCGAGTCTTCTCGGCTAATTGTACTTGGTCGTTGGAAGTAAATGCTTCCGGAGCACTGGCCTTTTTTACGAGTCCAATTAGCTCATCACTGACCGAGTTAGGATATTCCGGGGTTTTAGTCCCGTTAGGGTGACAAACAAAATATCCATTGCCCTCCCTGCATACTATTTTGGATGGTCCGCTATATGTTGCTGTCATCTTGTTCATTTCACCTTGATAGCGGACCATGACAATGACCCCTTCCAGGATGTGTACATACTTCTTTTGGTATTTTCGGTCATATGCTGCACGATTGCGCAACATTAGAGTGTAGTTGTGGCCTGATTGCCTCTTCTAGATTCTGCAGTCGCTCTTCCCATGACACTATCGTACAGGGTGCGTTTACTGTTGTGTAGTAGTCTGTGGGTCGGTTCTGTCTGCGACCGAAATATACATTAATTCTCGGTGGTTTATGCCTTCTCGATTTGCACAGATTGTGCCCCTTTTGTACGAAGGTAAGTCGTGAACACCAGTTGCCCGAGTTTTGTTCAACGAATTTTCTTAACAATGGTATGAGGTCTCTATTTGATCGGTTATTCGCACCTAAGACTTTAGGTTGGTATGGGCGAGAAACTAAGTGTTGTGTCGGCGCTTGTTCAATACTTTTCAGAGTATATCATTAACTTATTCAGTGCCTTAATTTACTTGTATGATTTGTGGGAACCCATGTTCGCACAATATTGGTACCAGCGTGCGTGCTACAGTAGCTGCTGATTTGTCCATTATTGGTGTGAGTATGACATGTGATGAGTGTACATCTAGCCATACTAACACATATGTCCGTCCTCTGTTTGAGTATCCACTTGGACTTTATCGCCTGAGAATGTGGCTTTGATTGATTGAAAGGGATGGAATCCCTTTTTGCGGATCTTATTTTTGAGACACGGTACGCATTCTTCAATGTATCTGTGTACATTTTGTTAGATTTGTGGCCAATTGTGTCCATTTGCTTGCAGTTTGTGCACCGTTCCTTCGGATGTGTGATATCTTAAGTTGTGGTATTGCCCAATGATGTTGACACGTGTCGCGTATTCTGTCTCATACAATGCATCTCCAGGGTTCACTGATTGTGATGCTGAGACATGTATGGCAGGTTGTTCCAGCGTTGAGTCAAAGTATGGAGACTTCACTTCTATCTTTGCGATAAAGGTGACACCCCATGGGGCTTGCTACATGCTTTCGTGCCTTCTTTGAGAAACGCATTGTTTGTGTTTTCCACTAACATCGGGTCTTCTTCTAGTAAAGATAGGAATTTTGGAAATCAAGTTGCATTGGGGTAGTATGGTACACATATCGTGTCGCTGTTTGCCTCTTCAATGACTTTGTCAAGGACATCAGGTATGAGTTCCCACGGTGAGGTTGCCCATGTATTTACTTGTCGCTCACTCCTGTAGGAGCGCATTCTGTTATTTGTGTAGTGCTTATCTGTGTGTGCATTGCGTGCCGATACAAACAGATCTACTGTGGATTTCACAAACCGACTTTCAGCGTAACATCCAGTCTGTGGCTGATATGGTTATGGGCATGTTTGTTTCCAAGGTGGTGTAATCCTGGCTGTTGTTTGTTGTTTTGTTCGCGTCTTTCAATAACTCCAACAATTTGGTGTTAAATGTGTCGTCGTGTAGGCGCAATAGCATATCTGATATCTGGTTGTCCTTGCCTGGGATAATTATGATGAAGAAGCGGTGGTGCAATGTTTTTGCTATTCATTTGGCTAGCATTGGGTGTAATTTCTGTTGGCTGTTCATTTGTGCGAGCGCTTTATGATCTGTCCACAGTGTTCTGTCCCCTTTTTTGACGCATTCGGAGAAATGTTCCAGTAGCTCTTTTGTGTTTGTGCCATAGCGTTGTTGGGCTGGATTTAGGCCTTTAGAGGAGTAGAGAATGTCTTTTCTGACTCCGTCTATGACCTGAAATAAACATCCTCCTATGCCATAGTCACTAGCATTGTTCATGATCTGAAACGGTGGGACGCCGAACACGCGATGGCTTCTTTGAGTTCTTCCCACTTTGTTTCGAGTTCCGGTGTCCATAACACTGATATGTATTGATTCAATTTACCTTTTATTCGGGTACGGAAGTGTTTAGTTGTGTGGACAAAGTTGGGAACATGGTCACGCATATAGTTCACTAGTCCCACCGCTCTGTGCAAATATCTTTTAATTCTGGGTTATGGCCAGTTCATCATCCTTTTCTGTTTTCAGGATCAGCTTTGAGTCCTTGTGTAACTACTTTCACGCCTAGGATGTTGGCTACTTTGACCGCGAAAGCACACTTGTTGCGATTGAGTCAGAAGCTTGCTCCGTTCAATCGTTTGATTACTTCACGAACTTTTCTGTAAGATTTGCAATGACTATGTCATTTACACACACTTGCTCTCCTTCGATGTCAATGAGCAAGTTTGCCATGTATTGATCACAGTAAACAAGGATAGTTTACTAAGCATAAAACAACGGTTGACCAGCGGAGGCTCAACAAGGTTTATCCTAGAATCAACCAAGGAGAAAATCTAAAACTCAGAAAAGACAGGATTAAATACAGATGGAAATTAATCTCGGAACCGAATTTCCCGGAGTACGGAATCATCAATATGGAAAATCTATAATGGGCATAGGGCATTCCAATATCGGAGCAGCACAACTTAGACGTATAAGGCCAAAGATTGCGATAGGCGTGACCACGCTGCCTTTGGATTGGATCATAAACTAAGTGAGGACCTTTTTCACCTAACGAGGTGTTTTTTAATGGCTCAAGGATTAGGAGTCCAATGCATATAAAAGCAGGGACTCGAACCAAATAAATCACAACTATTCATTTAAAACTTAAAAACACTTTAAGCAACTCTAATATCTGAGAACAATCCATGACTCTCTGGAATTGTGCTGTGCGTGAGGTCTTGAAATAAGTATTGCGCGCCTCTCCACAAGAATGTGAGGAAATGTCGACTTGCTTCATCTACTAAGAAGTGGCAAAACCTTCCCGTGAGATCTAGCATTGAGAAGAATTGTGCTTCTTATAAATTGTGTAATACCTCCTTTATTTTTAGTATCACGAATATATCTTGTTCATATTGGTATTTGATTTCGCATAAATCTAAATATGTTCTTACTTTCTTGAGGAGACGTGTTCGGTCATGCTCCCCTGTAGATAGCAAGGGTAAGTTCACCGTTGTCGGCGTCGTTCGTTTGTATGTGACCGTCTGTAAGCCACCTCTTCACATTTTCATCCGTTTGTAGGATATACTTATGTGGTACAAAGTTTACTTTGGCGTGCCTCATTTGTCTGACATTATTTTCATTTGCAGGTACTGTGACTTTAGAGCCTAGTAGGTTGCAATGTACGTCACGAGGTATATTCGCGTTGGTTTCTAGGAGGTCTGCCAGTGACTCTTTGAAGGCTTCTTGTTCGTGCTCTAGGTCTTCCTCACGCGGAGTGAGTAGTGATTCCCATTTTGAATCTGTTGGTACAACTGAATTTCTTAATCCTGATATGTATATACCTATGTATGGAAGTATGTCAATACCTAGAAGTATTAAGACCTTCTTGTCTGGTAGGTCCAACACTTCATAACCTTGAGAGGTTTTCCTTCCTCCATAATTAATGTCACATACTTGTGTTGATCCTGTTCTTTGTATTTGTAGCCCGGTTGCGCTCTGACTGATAGATATAGTTCAGTAAGTATGCTCTTGTCCATACATGGACGTTGTGCTCTGGAGTCCACTGGGGCATTGTATGTGTTACCATTAATTTGTATAGCAATGTGTAATCTTTAGTCTCCTGGTGCGGGAAGCAAGAACAAAGGTTGACACCTTATATCATTTGCATTTATTAACAACGTTTCTTCATCTATATTTATATTTAGCCTGTCAGCCAGTTTAAACATATTTGCTTTCGCCCACCAGTTGTTTCAGGACTCATCGCTATCTGTTATCTCTTCTACTTTTCCTGAGGTAATGGATAGTCGGACTCCCTGCACGTCATTCTTGGCATGCTCCTAAGCCTTCTTGCTCTGATTTGAAGCCTTCATAGGACGTAGGCTAAATCGATGTGGGGCTGGTAATACTTTACAATAATGACATGCACGTTTTTCGCGCGCCCCTTTCTTCTCTTAAGGTTGTCCTATTGGTTTGGTCTGTCTTGGTGTGCCATTGTCTGATTTGTGACATTTGGTAGCAGTGGTTGTGGCGTTATGTGCTTGGCCCTGAGTAGCCAAGTTCGAGTTGTATCTCTTCCACTCTCTGTACATACGATCTGCCTGTACTGTGGCTGCTGCACTTATGGATACTTCAATATGAGAGTAGAACACACAATGTTTCATATCTGATAAGTGATCATCACTTTCATCAGGCAGTTTGTCGGCTTTAATGATCGTGTCTACCTTCTGTTGCTGTCCATAGTACATGAGTGCCTTGTATCTCGCTACATTGAGGAGTTGAGTGCGTATTGACTCCTTGTCTGTGTTTCGGTAACGCTCCTCTGACACTTGCATTGTTCTACTTTGCCGATCTGTGCGCATCTCTACGTTCAGTGCCTTGTTCTTCATGTCATTGTGGAACTTCTCTAACAGATAGTCTACTGGGTGATGTCTGAGTCTATCAATAATGATTATATAGAATTGCTCTGGATCAGTGTAGTGCTTTGTGATCTGCGTTTGTGAGTCACGTATCTCTTTGAGTACCTCCTTGGTGTTTTCGTTGCATCAGTGGAATCTAATATGTATCCCACGAGTCCGGGGTACTGACATAGTGACATAGACCTAGCTAAGAATATGTCTTTGCACTGCGTAGTAGACTTTAGATTGTCTTCACAATTTTCCATTTTGAAACTACTGTCTCTTGGTATCTTCGGTAATTCTGAGATCTTAAGTAGTTTAGATAGTACAGGCTCATCAACCTTATCACCTAAGCGTGAACGTAGGATCTATAGCTCGCTAATGTACTGACTGATTTGGATTATTTCATCATCTTCATCGTCTTCACATGCATTGATAGCTCGGCCGTAACTCTCTCAGTTCTGAGTACACGAGTGGCATGTGCCGTTCTGGTTGTTGATCGTGAATGCCTACTCTCATCTTGTGTAGACTCGCGATAGCCACTGGTGCTGTTTGTTTCAATTTGGCTACAAACCTACTAACCTGGACATAGTTGCCTTGACAAATGCTTTTGTCTATTCCTAGACGCATTGCTGATGCCTGTATGGGCACCCCACTAGGTGTCTGCTGGCTTGAACCACTATCTGGAGTCGGCCCCACTGCTGGGCTGTCATTTGCATCATCCGCGCTAACGTCAATTCCTTCATCACCGTACACTCCTGATCTAGTCGCTGTTGTCATCTTGAGTTGTCTGTGTTGGTGTGTGTGTATAGCAGGTTATTAGTAAAAACTTGTGCAATGTTCGTTCCGAATTAGCGCTTCACCCCCCTTGCCTTTGCTAGTAATTTGCCGGAAAAAAATTTTGAGCTTATCTTACTTACTTTGTCGCGATCACGCGTTGCTGCACTTCCCTGGCAATTGTTTACCGTTCTGTGTTGTGCGGTAGCTTGTTGCGTTCCTTCCTGTGGTTGTGAAGGTTTGTTTGATGTTTGTTGATTAAGCTTATCTAGTCACGTATAGACTTACGTGTATCCTGTACCGAACTGTTGTGATGGAGATGTCAATTGAGATGGTCGGTCTCGTATCCAACTCACGTGAGGTGAGGTTCTGTACCTCACTCGGTGGTTGTTCCGAACTTGTATCATACGTGGTCTCTTTTATTTGTAGTTGTACCAATACTCTTATTGAATAATTGTGTCTGTGTCGCTCTTATTGTAAGCTTGCCTCCGATTGTGTGAGAATGTGCTACCTTCTTACTTACTGCTGAAGATACTATTGGTCATTTGATGCTTGTATGAGGACTGCTTCATGGTTCTCGTGTCATGTATTAAGTTGTTTGTGCTACAGCTTATTGTTGTTTGTACTTTGAGATATTGTAGATATTTATGTGTAACTTGCCTTTGTCCGTGAGTTACTCATCTCTATTGTCATGTCCCTTGTGATGGCTTTCTGGTCTGATTTCAATATAAGTCTATGTTCTCCTGTGGTCCTGTGCGTCCAATAAAATTCTTCTTTTATTGTTTGTTTGTAAAACAGCTTGTTCTTGTTTTGTACATTGAGATGTTCTGGATACTTATGTGTAACTCGCCTTTGTGGGTGCATTACTTATCTCTAATGCCATTTCTCTTGTGATGGCCTTCTGATCCGATTTCAATATAAGTCTATGTTCTTTTGTAGTCCTGTGCGTCCCATATCATTGTTCTTATATTGGTATCTGTTGTGATATCTATACCTAGTCTCCGAACTTCCTTAACCATTTGTGATGCTGTTTGCATTTGGCTATTTTTGGAAATTTTTCATCGATCAATGTGGTTGTTTGTGTCCTTGTCTCGGTTATTCTCACTCTTTCGTGTGATTCTCGGAATCCAAACCGTGACTGTATGCTTGTTCTGTGCTGTCCCTCTTGTGAAATAATGGTGGAACCCAAACTATGACTGCATGCTTGCTTTTAGTCGCTTTGTCTGTGCTCCATTTGATCTACTTTCTTGTCATTTCGACTCACTCTTCTGATCCGTTGCCCTGTGAGGTAGTACCTTCAGAACTATTGTGTCCTTATTGTCTTGCGTTTTGGTTTTAACTCATGAGATGTCATGACCTCTTCCTAAGTTGATTAGAATTGGTACATATATAAAATTGTGTTTATCCTATGATTTTGTGTTGTTACGTGGTTTGACTCTTATGAGTGTATGATTCGGTCTTTCAAGGCGATATTAACGCCTTAGAATAAATAAACGCGTAGGTAAATTCTAAGTATCGTGAAAATATCAAAGTAAATAAACGAAATAAGACATTTAGTGAAGTTAGGTTTGCCTCGTGAAAACAGCAATACTCTGAGGGATTGTGAGGCTGAGACATTGCCTATATATAATCATCTCATTACTGTTTCCGCCGAAGGGATTTTATTTAGTGTTTCGTTGTCGCTCTATTAGAAACTATGGTATGTTTCACTGGGGCGAATCCGAGAGACTCATAAAATCCTATCTTTAGAAAAGAAAAGAAAAAAATACTCTTGATGTCCTTAGTTATTGTCTTAACGAATAACTCTATTAACATCTAAATGGATAGGTCCATATATAGTCTCTGTAGCAGACACTAAAAGTGGAACGTACGAGGTAAATAACCCCGATAAATAACCCCGATGGTTCTAGGCGCTTAATATAGGCACAAGTCGTATTCCGACTACAGAGATTATGCTCGCAAGAAGACATGATTCTAATGCCCCTCTTGATCGTTCTGAATTTAAAGACATTATATGGAGAACGGATAAGGGAGGCTATACATACTATCGTACACGCTTTATAGACGGTACAATAGCTGAGTTGACTTCAGATGCTTTCGATAATCAAGACTATTTAAAAGCCTTTAATCGAAAATGGCGTAAACGCCTGCATAAGTCACAAGCTGAAAAAGATAGCATGTTTCCATCGTCTGAAGGAACGGAAGTTAAAACTTATCCGCCTACAGCATTTATCCCGAGCCTTAATGCTCATCCTTCATATGTGCTGAAGACACTGAAGCGTAAGAAACATCCAGTCGACCACCACGGACCTACTGGACCTAAGCCCAAAACTCACAGGGTAACCGAGAACGCTTAACTTCTCCGCCTGAGAAACATTAACTATATGTTATGCTACTTAATGTTTCGACCCGTTTTTCCTTTCTCGCTTTTTTGACCCATAATCAGCTTGAGTGAGCAACTTGCTTCTCATGGGTCTCAAAGCTGGGTGGGGGCTGTGTAATAAGCCGGGCCTCCACATTAGGCTCTATATTATAAACGTACTCTTAAGCAGTACGTAACTTATAAACGTACTCTTAATAGTACGAGGAACTTAAGTTTCCTAAATGTACTCTTAAAAGTACGAGGAACTTAAGTTTCCTAAATGTACTCTTAATAGCACGAGGAACTCAAGTTTCCTAAAATGGGTTTTAATGGTTTTATTAATTAATACCTTTTCTATTTTACATATCAGATATTTGGACGAGGCCATTAAAAGGCCTCAGTAAAATACCAAACATAAAGAGTTGGTCTAGTTCTATTAATATAATTTTATTTACTTTCCAACTTTATTTATATCTGAATACTTTGGTAGCGAGATGGCTCAACCGAATATAGGTTTCTAGGGACTATTAATGTTACCTAGTTGATCCTCCGATCAGCCAGCCAAATGTGCCAGTCTGATGAAGGCTAAGTCGGTAATTCTTGATATTGGCAAGTTATTCGTTAAGACAATAACTAAGGACAGCAAGGTATTTTTTCTTTTCTTTTCTAAAGATAGGATTTTATGAGTCTCTCGGATTCGCCCCAGTGAAACATAGCATAGTTTCTAATAGAGCGACAACGAAACACTAAATAAAATCCCTTCGGCGGAAACAGTACTGAGAGAATTATATATGGGCAATGTCTCAGCCTCACAATCCCTCAGAGTATTGCTGTTTGCACGAGGCATACCTAACTTCACTAAATGTCTTATTTCGTTTATTTACTTTGATATTTTCACGATACTTAGAATTTACCTACGCGTTTATTTATTCTAAGGCGTTAATATCGCCTTGAGAGACCGAATCTTACAACTATGTCTTGCATGTTCAACATGCTATCGTGTAAATAGCCCGACAGGCCTCGCCGCTGCCGTTGTATAGCCCCCACAGTATATTAACATATCCACTAAAACAGCCCAAAAAAATTGGTGTACAGAAAATAAACCGCTGAAATAAAACAAACCGCTGCGTCCGGTGCGCTATGTTATACTATGTTTTGGCGGCTGATCGACCCGCAGTTGCAACCGTCTTGTTGTACGGAACAGGATGCCATATCCCTAGGCTTACGCCATTATATTAGTCATACAACAGCTATCATACGAAACCGAAACGTGTCTATTATAAAGTCAATAAAAATGAATAAATCTGACTTCTAAACGGGATTTCCTGTTTGTGTTCCTGGAACATGAGAAAATAGAAAGAGAAACGGTATATGAATAAGATGACGTGAATAGTTTACAAATGTTGTTGTTGGACTGTATGCCAGAGCACAACATAGAAATTTACGAGGCCGAAAAGGGAAGGTTTAAATGTATAATTTTACGTTGGACACGATAGATACTACGCGAATATGAGCTATGAGGTTTTATTATCAGTTCAGGCGATTAAAAGAAAGTCCTGCAGCAAATATCGTTTTGGAGCTACGAAAAACTTCGAGTCTACCGCATTAGAATAATCAACCTTACAACAGCTAGTATATAAGACCTGGAATTCGTCTGTACTTGTGAATGGGTTACAGATGAAAGAAGTCATGTCAAACTAGTACAGTCCATTATATCTCATTATTTTGTAAGTATGTGCTAGAGTTGGCAAATTAGATTAATCTGGTGTCAGAATTCTCTGCTGCAACTAACCGAACTACACTTGCCATCGACAATCTGCTGCTTCATACCTTCGCTCTTGACAAGCCAACA